TCAAGTCCAAAGTCAATGCAGCTGTCTACCAGGAGATTTTGGAGCACTTTATGCTTCCATCTGCTGACAAGCTTTATGGAGATGCTGATTTCCTTTTCAAGAAGGACTTTAGCACCTGCCCACAGTGCCAAAACCACTTCCAAGTGCTCACACCTCACTGGTGCTGGAGTTTGTGTTAAACGAGCCTCGACCAAGTGCATAAATTAACATATTTTAAAGAACTTGAACTTTTCTGTTTTGCAAATCCTTTTTTTGATTGATCTTAGGAAATATTCTAATATTTTGAGATACTGGATTTTAGACTTTCATGAGCTGTAAGCTCTAATCATCAAAAATAAAAACCGGAAAAAAACCTTTTGAAATGTTTTACTTTACATGTAATGAATCTAGAATATATGAAAGTTTCACAAGCCGATTCAAACACTTGGGAGAGCTTCACAAGGAGTGGACCGAAGCTGTAGTCAGTGCATCAAGAGTCACCATGCTCAGACGTCTTCAGGAAAAGTGCTACCAAGCCACTTCTGAAACAGAAACAACGTCAGAAGCATCTTAATTGGGCTAAGAAGAAAAAGACCTGGACTGTTGCTCAGTGCTCCAAAGTCCTCCTTTCAGATAAAAGTAAATTTTTTATTTCATTTGGAAATCAAGGTCTGGAGTCTGGAGGAAGACTGGAGAGGCACAGAATCCAAGCTGCTTGAAGTCCAGTGTGAAGTTTCTGAAGTCAGTGATGATTTGGGGTGCCGTGATGTCTGCTGGTGTTGGTCGGAAAAAAACCTTTTGAAATGTTTTACTTTACATGTAATGAATCTAGAATATATGAAATAAATTTTTCATGATATTCACATTTTTTGAGATGCACCTGTAATGTACAATATAACATTAAAAAAAAAACTCACGTTGGATCTTCCAAGGCTACTTTGGTTTCTTCCAGCTCTTGAGCCTGTTTCAACCAGGGCAGCTTGGCTTCAACAGGTTGGCTCTCTGAGAAAGCAATAAACAAACAAACAAACACAATATTGGATAACATTATTGTTAATCAAAAAAAGTAATAATGCACCGAGTAGAGCAATTAAACCTATCTTCCTCTCTGTTGACAGATATCACCAAATCTGATCTAACTAAAAAGCCAAAATATTTTAACTCTACTTAAAAGGCCATTTTATACGAGCATGCATTTTTATGCTGATAAATGCGACTTTGATCATACTGCAAAACCTCCTGGTTAAGCTAGTTAAAATGCCTGATGGAAACTAGCACACCAGCATCTAACACACAACAGAAACCGCTCTTTTTATAGGTATTGAAACTCTAGCTAACCACAGTACAGAATTTAATCTCAGATATTAAAAAATTATAAAAACATTTTTGAGGTTCATAATTGTAAAAAGTGGTGCTTGGCTACTTATCAGAGGCCATTAGTTGAGAGTGGTGTGGAAAAATCAATTCAAAGATCTGGGCTGATTACCGAAAGGTTGTAGGTTCAAGCCCTGTAAGTGGTGATCCACAAACCATCGCCCATTGTACTCTTGAGCAAGACGCACAACCTCAGGTTACTCCGAGGAGGACTGTCAAGGTATTAAGTGTTCTGTAAACTGTTTTGGATGAAAGTGTCAGATAAAAGATGACAAAAAGATACAGTAAGCCAAGTCGGTGAGAGATCAGTGCCGAGGGACACTCACATTTCACCAGAAACCCTTCCTGCTATGAACATCTGTAGTACCATCACTAGGTCATACGTCTTAGTGAAGGTTACAAAGCCAGTTTGAGTCTGGCTGCTTACCCTCCAACCCCCAACCCAAACACAGCTAATAAAGCTCAACATAAATCTCCATGTGACAACCAAATATTTATGCAAGCAACCATTTATTGATCTGGAAGAGGATTATCACAGCTGTCGGTGACTGTGGGACAAACAGTAAAGTCTCGCGGCAGAACATGCCGAGGGCTCAGGGTTTGGCTCTTCAGTCGGGGTTTCTGGGTTTCTCTGATGGCAGACGTCCTCAGATTTGGCATGCGGGAAGGTCGAGATGAATTAGCAGGCAATGGAGCCTCTGTCATTTCAACCCACTGAGTTTTTACAAGCATGTCAGGCTCAAGTTAAGTGTGGAATTGATTGATTCGAAGAGAATTATTGGTGAAAAAAAGCGCACAGATGTTTCTGATTAGGGTTACTAGAATTTTGGGATTTTTGCGTAACTGATATTAAAGGAATACATTACTGTTCAAAAGTTTGGGGTTGGAGAGATTTTTTTATGTTTTTGAAAAGTCTCTTATGCTCACCAAGGTTACCTTTTCTTGATTGATCTTAGGAAATATTCTAATATTTTGAGATACTGGATTTTAGACTTTCATGAGCTGTAAGCTCTAATCATCAAAAATAAAACCTTTTGAAATGTTTTACTTTACATGTAATGAATCTAGAATATATGAAATAAATTTTTCATGATATTCAAATTTTTTGAGATGCACCTGTAATGTACATATAACATAAAAAAAAAAAAACTCACGTTGGATCTTCCAAGGCTACTTTGGTTTCTTCCAGCTCTTGAGCCTGTTTCAACCAGGGCAGCTTGGCTTCAACAGGTTGGCTCTCTGAGAAAGCAATAAACAAACAAACAAACACAATATTGGATAACATTATTGTTAATCAAAAAAAGTAATAATGCACCGAGTAGAGCAATTAAACCTATCTTCCTCTCTGTTGACAGATATCACCAAATCTGATCTAACTAAAAAGCCAAAATATTTTAACTCTACTTAAAAGGCCATTTTATACGAGCATGCATTTTTATGCTGATAAATGCGACTTTGATAGGGTTACTAGAATTTTGGCATTTTTGCTTAACTGATATTAAAGGAATACATTACTGTTCAAAAGTTTGGGGTTGGAGAGATTTTTTTATGTTTTTGAAAAGTCTCTTATGCTCACCAAGGTTACAATTATTTAATCAAAAATACAGTAAAAACAGTAATATTCTGAAATATTATTACAATTTCAAATAACTATTTTCTATTTGAATATATTTTAAAATGTAATTTATTCCTGTGATGCAAAGCTTGAATTTTCAGCAGCATCATTACTCCAGTCTTCAGTGTCACATGATCCTTCAGAAATCATTCTAATATGCTGATCTGCTGCTCAAGAAGCATTTATTAGTATTATTAACGTTGAATACAACTGAGCTGCTTAATATTTTAGCAGAAACCATGTCTTTACTGCCACTTTTGCATTCCTGCTGAATAAAAGCATTAATTTTTCATATAAAAAGTCTTACCCCAAACTTTTGAAAGGCATAGTGTACTTCACTCAAAAATTAAAATACTACTTACTCTCATTTCATTTCAAACCTGTGCATTTGTTCAGTGGAACACAAAGGAGAATTATAAGGCATCTTCAATTTGCTCTTTGGGTTTGGAACGACATTATGGCGATTCAGTTATGACAGAATTTTCATTTTTGGGTGAAGTATTCCTTCAATGAAAATTTGGAGGATTTAAGCAAAGCTTGTAAATATAAAACACGTGTGAGGAGGAAAAGCGTTACACATCTAGATGACAAACACCTCCTGTTATGCGCCTGAACTCACAAGTCTAAAAAAAAGTCTCACAAGTAAGATAAAATAAAATAAAATAAAATAAAATAAAGGTTGACAAGAGTGCAGAGCAATGTTAGGATAAAAAAATTAAATAAAATTTAATAAAATAAAATAAAGTGCTGACAAGAGTACAGAGCTATAATGTTAGAAAAAAAATAAATAAATAAAATAAATTTACGTGAATATTCATGTAAGAACAAAATGCAAAAACAAGAAATGTAAAATTATATATATTTGGAACCCTTTCCAAAAGTGACTGTATGATTTTGAGATCCATATTTTCACACTGAGAACAACTGAGGGACTCATACACAACTATTACAAATAGTGAAAACATTTACTTATGCTCAAGAAGGCAACAATGCATTAAGAGCCGGGGGGTGTAAACATTTGAACAGGATGATGATGTGTAAATAATGTTTCCCAGAAGACAAAATAAGTACAATTTACCATGATCATCCAATTAAGAGACCCCCCGTCTCTTAATGCATTGTGTGGCCTTCTTGAGCATCAGTAAATGTTTTCACCTTTGGTAATTGTTATGCATGAGTCCCTCTATTGTCCTCAGTGTTAAAAGATGGATTTCAAAATCATACAGTCACTTTTGGAAAGGGTTCAAATATGCAGAAGATGATGGAAAACCAAAGAATGTGCAGGAGCTGGAGGATTTTTCTGAAGAACAGCAGGCAGTTGAACTGCTCAGGACCAACAAGGGACTCATGAACAACTATCACAAAATATAAAAACAGTCATGGATCTTCCAGGAAATGACACATAGTATTAAGATTCAAGGGTATGTAAACTTTCGAATGGGGTCATTTTTATAAATTCAGTTATTATTTTGTCTTGTGGAGTATATGTAAACATCTGTTATGTGAAATAGCTTATTCAGGACAGTATTAAAATAAAAAAAATAATATGCAATTTTCATGCAGATTTCAAAAGAGATTTCATTCTCATGTTTTCTCCTACAGGAAAAACACATGTCAGAAATAACAGGGACCTGACAGGAAAATAAAGTGACAGACAGGGAGACGTCACAGGTATTAATTAACGCCACAGCAAGAAAGAGCTCTAAAACACACCGTGACTGACTCTCCATGAGCTCACTGTGACTGTCTGCACTTATGGAGCATTTCATATTCACATCACACGTTATTTCACGAGCGTGCCTGCGGCACACACTCTTCTCTCCTGTCTGACAGCTGTAGGCTCTGACTGTTCCCTAACGGAGTCCGCTTTGGCTGAGTTCCAAAGTCTAGTGAGCTTCCCTGCTGCCTACATAGGCAACATCCTACACTGAGATGAAGACTCTACACAGACTCGACGCAGTCAGCATTTCTGTACCTCACTCAAATACAAATTATTTAAATGATAAACGTTTCTTTCCTGCAGTTCACTATCTCGGATGGATTTTTTTTGCACTGCACATTCTCATTATATTCTCTGTGATAGATACACGCAATGCTGCAAAATGGGGTTCCTTAAAGGGCAGCGTAATTTTATTACTAGGTTTTGGAACAGAGACTTTAAATGCTTCCCTGAAACAAATAAGTTCTAACAGCATTTTAATCATATCAATGTTTTAATGTTAGTTTTTATTAGTAGATGAATGGAGCTCAGCAGTGACTGCTCACTTTATCAGCGGCCTTGGCTCCAGATTTATTTCCCATTTATTTTCTCTGAAGGCATTTCAGAAAATTCTTCCATAAAGAGTTCAAAGCCTTTAACGAACCAAACCAGCTACGATGAATCACATTATTGCATTGTTCGATTTGTCAAAAAAACAAAGGAACTTGTGAGAGAAAGAAGGCAGCACTGAATGTATATTACACCAAGAAGGCTTTCCTAGAAGGCATTGCGACAAGGTCAATGAAAAATGTTAGAGAAATATTTCATATCATATTTCATATTTAAATTTGTTCCCTCAACAACGGTCAATTTTATTTAATAACCAAGGGTTTTTAGAGTCTTTGAAAACCTAGATATATAAGGGATTCATAAACGTGTGAATTCTAGACATGGTCATGAAAGTCTTGAAAATTAATAAAATGTGATTTATTGATTGACTGATTGATTGATTGATAGATAAATAAATAAATTATTGAATGAAATAACATTTCTATTAAAGAATATACATTTTCTAACTTTGTCAAGCTGTTATCAGATATAAATTACTATTTATATTTATTTTGCAATAAAATAAAATAAAATAAAACAAAACACTGTAATCACAAATGACTTGAAAACTTGTGTAAATTCATGGATAATGAAAAGTTTACACCATGAAGAACATTAACTTCAGGAATTATGGAATTATTAGAATTATTTATAATTGCTATTTTTAATCATTTTAATTAAACATCATTATTATAAATAATTGATACTATTTATATATAATTGAACTATTTATTTACACTATTTTAAATGGCCACTCCTAGTTTCTTTAAATAAAAAAGTTTGAAAATAAGCAGTTTTGTCATTATAGCAGAAGTATTAGAAATATTTTTAGGGGCCTTCAAATATTGTCTTTGACAATGAGGGGCCGGGCCTGTATTAGAGCATTATGTCGTTAGCTTAGCAACACGCTAACATCAAAATTAGTCGGAATTAAATAATTTCACATGTGCAGTTCCTGCTTATGTAGAACGGTTCAAATCCACTGTATAAGGTTCTATTTCAGTGAGGATGCTGACTCACAAAGCAGCTGACTATGTAGACTGTAGTCAGCAGAGTAGCTCACTCGATTGTGGATCTCCTTTTTGTGTTTGTACCTCGTGGTTTGTGGCAGGCGACGGGGACCAGGCAGTCCTCTTTGATATGGGGTTTGAGGTGAGGACTGCAGCCGCCAGTATGTTGTCCACTGTGATCCACACACAGCACCACTCTGTACCGTAAACCTGGGCCGCAGGTGACCGTGCACTGGATAACACAGATAAAAAACACAAACAAATACATATTTGATCAAAAATACAGGGGAAAAATATCATATTGTGAAATATTAATTCAATTTAAAATTACTGTTTGCTATTTAAATATATTTTCAAATGTAATTTATTCCTGAGATATAAAGCTGAATTTTCAGCAGCCATTACTCTAGTTTTTAGTGTCACATGATCCTTCAGAAATCTTATATTATCATATATTATAATTCTAATATTATATAATGTCTATTATATTATATATTAGATATGTTTTATTAGATAACATCTAATATTCAGAATATTCATACCAATACACTGATTTGGTGCTCAAGAAATATTTCTTATTAAAAATGACAAACACACAAAACAAAATTACAAGAACTTTAACTAAAATTCAAATGAAAACAGAAAATATAAAAATAAAAACCAATTTAAAACATTAATAAAAACAAAAAAAAATAGCATCTCAATAATACCAAAATAATCTGCTTTACTGTTTATTATCAGTTGAAAACAATTGCGCGGCTTAATATTTTTGTGAAAACTATCTTTAATGTCACTTTTAATTAAGAAAAGAAAAGAAAATAGATTCAAGTAGTGGAGCAGGTATAATACCTCTGTTCCGATATATATATAAAAATAAATATAAACATCAAATAAATATAGTCATAAAGACAGACTACTCATTATGGTGTCACTATTTTTTAGCTTACTAAAATATTGTGTCGTCAGCTTTACAATATATGTGTCACGGGTTGCTGGGGAAAGGAGCTCGAAGGAGGCAGATAGTCAAACTAACAGAGTCTTTAATAAATCCACGTGGGAGAAATGGAGAAAACAACCACTTTCAACGACGGAGACAGGACAAAGAAACTGAACAAAGGCAGGGCTATAAATACTAAACCAAACGATGGACTAATAAGATGATTAATGAACACAGGTGGAAACTAATGAACTAATCAAGGGGACTAAGGGAAACTAGGTCAAAGAAGGTAGAACAGAAATACAGGAAAATCGATAATAGATGCTAACATCAAAATGCTGGAATCAGCTTTGAGCATTAAATCTCATTCAGTTCATCATGAACAGAGCTGCTGTCTATGAACAGTGTTTCAAATCAGTCACTCACATGATTTTATTTAGTTTAGGACACAGAAACAGCTCACTAGTTTGTAGAACAGAGCTATAGATGGTCAATGGTCATCAGAAATGGAAGAAGAGGTCAGTAAAGGTCACTTACCTGAGACCATTCCATGGCCATCCACTGCGGACACTCAAAGGTGTTGCAGCTCTGTTTGCTGATTGGTCGAGGGGAGTGTGCGCACTTCCAGTCCTCCACCTGCACGATCTGCCCGTGGACGTCCTCCTCGACACACACCACGCTTCTCTCCTGAGAGCCTCCTCCACACGACACCGAACAAGACGTCCACGGGTTCTGCTCCCACCTGCAGCAATATTACACAAGTCATATTTGGTAGATAAGTAGTAACTTATGTTAGTAATCTAGATAAGTAGTAACTTTATGTTATGAAATATGTTGTAATAATGTAAAGGTGTCAACAAGACTAAAAACAGAATTATTGTGAAATATTATTACAATTTAAAATAACTTTTCTATTTGAATATATTTTAAAATGTAATTTATCCTTGTGAATTTTCAGCATCATTACACAAGTCATCAGTGTCACATGATCGTTCAGAAATCATTCTAATATGCTGATTTGCTGCTCAATACATATTTCTGATTATTATCAATGTTAAAAACAGTTGTGTTGCTTAGCATTTTTGTGCAAACCATTTTTTCAGGACATTTTGAAATAAAATAAACTTATTTCAATAAACTGAAATAATATATATACTGTACAGTGCCTTGCGAAAGTATTCATTTTTCATGTTTTGTTATGTTGCTGCCTTATGTTAAACTGCTTTAAATTACTTTTTTCCACATCAATCTACAATCCATACACCATTAAAAAAAAACAGGTTTTTAACATTGCAAATTTATTAAAAATAAAAAAACTTAAATAATCTCACTGCATAAGTATTCATACCCTTTTCTGGGACAGTTGAAATTTAGCTCAGGAGCATTCATATTGCTTGTAGATGTTACTACACTTCAAGTGAAGTTAACCTGTGGCAAATTCAATTGAATGGGTATGATTTGGAAAGGCACAAACATCTTAATAAAATATCGAACAGCTGATTATGCATATCAGAACAAAAACCAAGCCCAGAGGTAAAAAAAAAAAAAACGGCCTGTAGAGCTCAGAAACAGGTTTGCGTCAAGCCACACATCTGTGGAGGAGTTCAGAGAGCTAAAGAGGTGAGGAGAAGAATGGCAGATAATTGCCAAATGCTGATTAGCAAAGTTTGTCGCATTATACTCAAAAAGATTTGAGGCCTAAAGGCGCTTCAGCTAAATATTTAGTTAAGGGTATGAATACTTATACAAACTAAAACTGAAATAAAAAATGAATGAAAACTATATAGAAGTTTAAAAATAAGACAAAAACACAACAAAATGACTAAAACTAAAATTAAGATAAAAAGAGAAAATATAAAATACTAAAAACTAATTCAATTGTTAATAAAATCTAAAAATAGTATCTCAATGACACCAAAAATAACCTAATTACTGTCACCTTTGATCAATTTAATGTCTCTATGCTGAATAAAAGTATTAATTTATTAAAGTATAAAATCTTACTGACCTCAAACCTTTAAATGATGTGCATCTATCAAAGTATTTAAATTATTACTTTTAAATAGATAACTCTTTCATCAAACTGTCCAGTATTAAAACTATGTTCTGAGCTTGCAGACTTGACAAATTAACATTCAAAGTTGGTCCTGATGAATGATGTTAAATTCTGTCAGTGAGCATCACTGATCTCCATGAGTATGTGAGCAGCAAGTGTGCTGTACAATAAATAACTTCATACCGTGGTAGAGGCTGGTACTGGTCGTAGGGCATCACTTCCTTGAAGCCATCACTGCAGAGAAACAAACACCATTAGCCTTCAAGCCATTATCCACACTATCATAAGCTGATGAACAGGAAGTCTCATGCACAGACACTCTCTGGTTTATTGAGATTCATTCTTCATTCATTGTGTTTAGTCATGGAGGGTCAATAAGACAGAACCAGCCTTTCGAGGCAGGGATCCATGTTGCACTCCTTGAGTTTGGGTGTGGGTTTGGTGTTCTCTGGGAAGCTGTGGCAAAGGTGCTCCGCAACCGATTTGTTGTAACGAATGTCTATGCAATCAGCCGAATTCAGCTGATAACCTTCAGGGATGACACAAAGCACCATTAAGCATCAAAACTAATAGTCAAATGTTTCTCAGAAATCAATATTAGCCAAAAATGTGTCCAACAACTTTCAGAACCTAAAAAGTTACTGCTTATGACAAATGGACCCTATATAGGCAGAATTTTAAGTATTATGCATGCTAATGCATGCATGTATCATATATTAATGCATGACAGGTACCAAATCAATTATCTGCCAATATTAATTTTTTTTATTTTTATTATTTATCTGTATTGGCATTAGTCAATATACAGTATATCAGCTGGATATATAGCAGCAGATATTGAATATGTATTTGTACTTGCTCATTTAACTTATTTTTACATTTAAAGCTGATATCCTTCAAGGAAGAAACAAAGTCCATCAAGCATCAAAACTAACAGTCAGCTTATCATAAATTAATATTATCCAAAGACACATCCAACAACTTTTAGAAGTTCTTTTATCTAAAAACAGTTATCATTTATGACAAGGCAGCATTTTAAATAGTATGTATGATAATGCATGCATGAATCATATTAATTCATGATAGATGGGTTCAAAATCAATTATCTGCCAATATTAAAGCAGATATTCGATTTTTACATTTATCGGTATTGACATTGGTTGATACTGGATATATTTCAACTGATATCAATTAGATATTTTATTGTACAGTTCATTTCCCCTATTTTTACATTTAGATTATATATTTCCCCTCATCTAACAGTTAATTTTTAAAAACACTAACCCATTCACAACTCCGTTACTGTACATGTACTCTTTAGCAAATAAATATCAATATATTTTGTGATGACTAAATTCACTTGTCTCATTCAAAATGACTGATTTCAGTTTTTAGTGTTTTATTTTTCATTTATTTAGACAAAATAGTGAAGTATTTTAACTTTTGCAATCAGTTATCAGCCATAATCTGAAAATAATTATTGGCTTATCGGTATCGGACAGTAATATCCCAAATTTTAAAGCTTTGTCTTGTAGGTGTGTGAACGAGTGAATTCAAACCATTCAAATCACTGGGAATTTAATCAATCTATAACACTTACCCCCTCCACAGGTGACGGAGCAGGGGAAGAAGTCAGTTTCCCTCCACTGGTAGCGGATGGGCTGGTAAAACATGAACTGCATCACTGTGTCTTTAGGGCCGGCGTACTTCACCTGAGGAGAACCCAAATTCACTTATAATGTGTTTGATCGTTTACTTTTAATAGTCATATTCATAATCACATCACAAAAAAATGAGAAGCATTATCAGATAAAAGCCCATTCATTTTTAAAAACCAAATGATTTTGACATGTATATTAGGCAGCAAATTTACTCAAGCGGCCACAGTCCAACTCGTGTCATGATTTCCATAGAAAACGCAGCATGCATCATCTGCCACTGAATATCCTCTAGTCTTGATTTTCGGAGCTGTGATACTGATAAATACTGTTTGCGTGCTGCTGCAATTAACTAGAGTAATGAGTCATGTTCAATTACTGTAATCAGAATCAGAATGAGCTTTATTGCCAGGTATGTTTTCACATACGAGGAATTTGTTTTCATGACAGAAGCTTCCGCAGTGCAACAGAATGACAGCGACAGAACAAAAAATAAATAAAATAAAATAAATAAATAAATAAATAAAAAAAACAAAATAGAACAATAAATAAGGAATAACAATATATAAATTGACAATTGTATGTGCAATCGCGATCTCACAAAGTTCCTTATAATCAATAAAGCTCTCTAAACTGCACAATTAATCTCTTATTTACATTGCGTAAAGCGTTTAAATCCTGCTCTGCTTCATTAGTCCATATGTTTACAGTCCTTAATACAGGTTTAGCTTATTTTTAGTTTCTGCCTGTAGGTCGGTATAAGATGAACCAAACAGTGATCAGAGAGCCCCAAAGCTGCCCGTGGAACAGAGTGATATGCATTCTTTATTGTGGTGTAACAGTGATCCAATATATTACTGTCTCTGGTGGGACATGTGATGTGCTGTCTGTATTTTGGCAGTTCACCGGAGATATTTGCTTTATTAAAGTGCCCAAGAATGATTAAAACAGAGTCCGGGTGTTGTTGTTCTGTCGCTGTGATCTGATCAGCTAGTTTCTGTAAAGCTGAGCTCACGTGTGCTTGCGGAGGAATGTTAACACTGACGAGAATGAATGAGCAAAACTTCCGCGGCAAGTAGAAAGGCTTACAGTTAATGAAAAGCGCTTCTAGATCTGAACGGCACATCTTCTTTAACACGGTTACATCTGTACACCACCTTTCGTTGATGTAAAAGCATGTCCCGCCGCCGCGCGATTTCCCAGTTGATTCTGCGTCGCGATCCGCTCTGAACAGCTGAAAGCCCGGCAGATTTAACGCGGTGTCCGGTATGGCGTCATTCAGCCAGGCTTCCGTGAAACACAGAGCAGCAGAATGTGAGAAATCCTTATTTGTCCGGGAGAGCAGAAGGAGTTTGTCTGTTTTGCTGGGTAGAGAGCGGAGGTTCGCCAGATGGATGCTAGGCCATCATCAGCGGCGCCATCTTGCATCACCATAGTATTAAGCCATAATATGTAATATTATTATGTAAGCCATAGTTATGTAATATTATGTAAGCCATAGTGTCAAGACTAATCAAGAATCTTCAGGTCGCGAGATGAGAAAGTCTAACATGATTACAATCACATTGTTCTGTGTTTACAGTTTCACAAGGAGAGTAAACACTGATTCTCTCTGCTGCTTTAAACTCACCATGAAACTTCAAACTGAGTTTGCATGAAACTTTCACAATCATTAGTATTCAATGCAGGTTTTTGATGGTTTGTGACTATGCCAAATCATTAAAAAATTATTTAATCTACCTATTATAAATTAAATAATATATGACATCTGTCAGCTGATTGATAGTTTATACTTTTTTAGCAAGTAAAAGGCCTTTTAGAGTAATTGTAAAAATGTTCACCTTCAGGTTGTGGTTCACGTGTAAAATCTTCAATGATTTTTATAAAGTAAACATAAGAATAACTTTTATATTTTTAGTAATATTTCAAGATGAACACTTACTGGACTGAAGCAACTTAGGTTTACTTGATTTACATTTTTTTAAATTAGAAAAATCATGTAAATATAAAAAAAAGATCCATCAGACTTTTAAGGAATGTTTATTTGTTCATCTCTCAGTCATCATTGCACTGCATTATATGTTTTATCCCTACTGAGATTTGATAATAAAACTAAGCATTTAAATATCATCTTACTAAGACATATTATTGAATTTTATGTAAGTACAGTAGTCTGCTTTATAGTTATAAAAGGAGCTTCATAATCTCCTATATCATTGTATGAGCCATAATAGCTTGATGTATCAAATATGATTACTTTCTAAATCCCATATCAACCTCGACCAGTTGAACAATACAAGTAGACATGAAACTGCTCTTTTACTTATTTTAAATAAATAACATAAAATTGCATAACCTACCCTTGAACTGACCAAAGTTTTTAAAAGCACTAAGTAGGCCTATTAAAAACATAGATATTATCATTAGATGTTAAATCTTGACGTTAAATACACTATTGTTTTATATAGACTTTTTCTATAGTCTACACTGTATTTAATGCAATTAGCATTAACAGTAATTACACTACAGAAAAATTTGGAGTAATCCCTTAGTAATGCATTACACCCAACACTGATTATTAACATTGTAATAATATAAATTAGACCATATACATAACATTATAATTATTCTATATATAATAAAAACTGGAAATTTGTTTTAAATAATTCTATAAAGCAGCGTTATGAATACAACAGACCATTCACTTTTGTTGAGTGGAGAAGAAGGGCATCACATCTTGTTTATATGTTATTTTGAAAGAGTAAATAATTCATTTTTTCCTAAATGTTTAAGTTTTGGTTAAACTAGTCCTTTCAAATTTTAGGAGGTACTTCAATTAGATGACTCATGGGTTCAGTTGGAAGCTCCAACACAAGAGAAGATATGTAGTATCCATCAAAAAGACTATCTCTGGCTAAGAGTTCCTGCTGCTTTCTAATACCACTTGCAGATAAATCTGTCACTCGGCTTTCATTACCCACCTTTATAGTGAAGTCTGCAGACAGCGGTCCGTAGCAGCGGAGGGTCTGTCTGTCTGCTCCTCTCTGGAACTCCACCGTGTTGTTACCCAGAGCGTGAGAACCTGAAGAGCTGAACACCACCTCTTCTCTCCTGCTGTTTGGTGCATGAGCTTCAATCACTGAAATACGACATTTAAGGTTAAATGAGTGACTTTGCAGGATTACCACAAATAAAATCTTGCTACTACCTGACAGATATAGCTGAAACAGGTGTCCTGAGAAAGCACACCTGTCCCTGAAGCAGTGCTAACTGACAGTGGAACGGTTCACTCTTTACTCTAAACTGTAACACTGTCTACCTGTCAATCACTCTGTATGTTAGGGTTGGCTGACCCGTGTTTCGATTGTTGGGATTCAGATAGAGGTTGTGTGGTTGTCTGGCAGACGATAAACAGATGAAACTGCCTACAACTCTTTTAAAAACTAAAATTTCACATAGTCTATGAAGGTCTTTTCAATTAATGAAGTTATACTTTGACTCAAGTAAAATTATTTATGCTAAGATTTTTGGTCATTTTGCCAGATTTAATGTAAGTAGAGTTGAAAGAGGACAAGAAATATGGTAGAATGATAAATCATATTTCTTACAATAAAAAAGTCTAAAAATAGCCACAGTATACATCCATCCATCCATCTATGCATAGTATCCATCCATCGAATACAGTATATATCCATCCATCCATCGTATATATCCATCCATTGTATCATATGTATCCATCCATCCACCCATCCATAGTATGTATCTATCCACCCATCCATTGTATTCATCCATCCATCCATCCATAGTATGTATCATCCATCCATTTATCCATCCATCGTATGGGTCCATCCATCCTATCACCCATCATGTTTCCATCCCTCCATAGTATGGATTCATCCACCCATCCATCCATAGTATGCATCATCCATCCATCGTATATATCCATCCATCCTATCATCCATCATATGTATCCATTCATCCATCCATCCATCCATCGTATGTCTCTATCCATCCATTCACAGTATGCATCCATCCATCCATCCATCCATCATATGTATCCATCTATCCATAGTATGTATCATCCATAAATCCATCCATCGTATGTGTCCATAGACACACCCACCCACCCATCCATTAATTTATAGTGTGTATCACCCATCCATCCATCCATCTTACCCATTTTGGTATGTAATGCCTACTTTGATCCAATAAATGTCCACCCTGAAGCTTTTCTTTCTATTTTTTTTTCTTGTTTGCAAATTGCATTTCACAAGAACTTTGTGTCCAACTTTGAAATAAAGTAAAACAAAAACTAAAAGTTAAAATCCTTGTTTTAATCATTGGATCTCTCACTCCTACATTAAAGTTCTCAACCCAGTCATTCTAATCTGTAAAATGCCACACCACAGAAAAACCATCATCCAATCTGTTTGTCTGAGCAAATAAATGTTAACTGCCAATTTTTATCACAAGACGCCCTCAAGAAGAGCAGAATGACAACGTGGGAATTGAATCTCTTTGCGAGCTGTTTCAAAAAAGAAGGCATAATTATATTCAGCTGCCGCTAGCCACTCTCTAGCCGCTTTGACCAGTTGTTTGATTTTCCCTTACCGCTAACACATGTTGTTCTCTTGCTCTATTTACATGAAGGACCCGCAATTATTTCCAAAACAGTGTATCAAGTTGCAAACAACGGAAAGACATTTATTTATATTTGAAATTGTTAAGATCACATTGAATATTTTTAACAGCGGATGGCGATTTGATATTTTACGGCTTGAAACAATAAACAATGGCAATTATTGGCACATTATAAAAGAGCTATAATATCTAAAACATCTCAATGAAAAAAACTATAGGGCACGTTTATAAACTTGGCTGTTAGATATTGGATTATACGTATCTGTTTTCTTTATTTTTCTAGTCTTTTAAAGTATTTTATTTATGGAAAAAATGTCTAATTCATTACTTGAGCTTTGGGATAGTTGATCAGTGCAAGTAATCTTCAGGTCACTCAAACAAGTCAAACATCCACTAAATGCCCTGTAGTTCTTGATGGATGTTAAGGATGTTAAGTTTGCAACTAAAAAGGAGTTATGCACAGGTTAAAGGGTTTAGATATCAGCGTGTGTACAGGGAAAATAGTGGTTTTCCACAGAACGGAAGTGTGTACATGTGTGAGTGTGGGTCCGTCGGATGTGGAACGGATCACTGGGATTGGACTTCGGCATACTCTGTGTGTCCGTTTTGGAAATCTGCAAGATTACTGGCCCCGTCTCCATCGTACCGGGCTCTCAGCCACCACAAATTAGCCTGCATGAACACTTCATTCTTCTGCTCTATCCTAAAGTTCCCTCAAACCTCTTAGCATTTGCCAGTCCCACTCAGGTAATAGGAAATCTCTTTTTTTGGTCTTTCAGGCTAGATATAAAGATATAAAATCCATATGCATTCCCACACTGTGCTACTACACCAGGCGACCATGTCAAATACAGTTTGGCCGTGTCACTGTGGAAGTATTGTAAAATTTCAGACTATATATCAGAAGTTGGAAGAGTTCTTTGGAAAGTCAGTCTCAGATGCTTCTGATGGCCTGTGACAACTTCCTGAGAGGAGCAAAGATGTTACAAATTGAAAAACCCCGAATGTTATGTAAAAAACATGGGGAAAATACTCAAGATAACTGCCATCACAGTGTGAGAGGTCAGACTTTCATTGAGGGTTGATTTTGTGTAAATATGCAGTGAAAGCTATTCCATACAATCAAGAAAATTTCCTATAAAATTACCACGATTCCACGTCCTATATAATCAAATACATTATATTCCTAAATAAAGAACTGCTGAAATGTGGAAGAATGTCACAAAGCCATTTAAAAAAAAAACATTTGGGTGATATTTCTCCTGAAAATTTAAATAAATAAATAAAATTTTTACATAAATATAAAGCTGACTCTGTTAAATTTATGTTGAAATGAATTTTTAGAATTTATTTATGGTAAATATAACTCAACGTTAATATAAATTAAAGTTATCCTATAAAATAAATATAATTTTGTATATAATTTGCAAAATTATTTACAATGAAGTCCTATATAATCAAATATAATATATTCCCATATAACGAATGACTCACAAAGCTTTTCAAATACATAAATAAGTTTCACTTTCTGTATGCTAGATATAATACCATATTGTATTTTAGTTGATTTTAGGTTGACATAAAACCAGGAGAAACTGAGAAATTCATCCCAATAGTGTTAACTTTCAGACTGTGGAAAATCTCTCTGGGAGAGTGTGGAAAAACTCCTTGATAGCTGAATATATCATCTCACTAATTCTCAAAACGCTGTGATAAACTATTATATATGTTATAACTACACTCTAAGGCCTCAGTCCTGTGGCAGAAAGCTGGATTAATTCATAGTGATAATGTTGAAAATCCTTTTGAGTCTTAACCCTTCCTGACTAGTCTTATATGGCTTATAACTGCCAGAATAAGCCGAGACTTCATTCATCAAAGTTTTATGTCAAGTCAAGGACCCAGAAGCTTTGAAACACAACAGATCTTTGTATTAAGTTCATATGCATAATCTCACCAATCATGTCTGGTCCCTTGGCTGTGATTCTGAGGCCTCTGCTACCCATCGGCACTTCGATCACCGTTTTTATGGCTGTGGAAGAAGAATCACAAACCAGAAAGTCATTAAAGCATCACATAATACAGTGCATGAAATTAAATATAAAATTGGATTAATCTGCAGAACAACTGCATTTATTTCCTAGATGATAACTGGCAGGTCACTCACTAAATTCAACATGCAATGCAGTGTTTCACTCCAAACACAGATCAGAAGTACAGCATCCCTCACAGTTCATGTCAATATCCACTGATGATATGAGATATGGAAGTGCACATAAATACAGTCATTACATCTGAGGGTAAATGAGTTGCAAACACACACACACACACACACACACACTGCAACACGCTTAATGTGTTCGAACTCTCTCCATAAAAAAACATTTGTGGCTTCCCAGTGTACGGCTGAAAAAAGAAAACCCACCAATTTCCAGCTCAGTAAACAGAAAACCACAACAGAGAACAGCCTGAGTGCTTTCAGTTATGGTTGGATTGAGAGTGTTCTGTAAAAGCAAGCGGAACGGGGGTAATGGAGAGAATGGGAGGAATACAGGAAATCTCTCCAGTTACGCTGTATCTCTACTTCTTTTTTATTCCTTTTTTAGATTTCTTACACAAAGAGACTTATTACAAGGATAATCCCCCGGAGCGAAGAAACAGTTCTCCCAAAATTGAAAAATCTGACATTATTTTCTCACCCTCATGCTTTTCCATAAGGATTTTTTGAGGATATTTGGAACTGGTTTGGAACAACAAATGAGTAAATAATGACTTTTTTTTTTTGTAAATTTTGCATGTAAGTGTCTTGCTCAAGGGTGAAAATGAGATTCCTTAATTTTCAAATACTTAGCAAAATGCATTCACAAATGTATCCACACACACATCTTAAAGGTGCAATAAGTGATTGTCTTCAGAAACATTTTTTGCTATGCTGGTTGAAAGTCTTTTCACACCCGGATAGCAATCATTAAGTTAAGTGGTCTAAATGTATTTATCTGTATTTATATATTCTGTGGAAGGCGTAGGACCAAGAAATGTTCGTCCAATCAAAACGCTCGGTCCGAGTGTTTTAATTGGCTTTCCTATCTGCCTGTCAACATGTGTATTTGCATACATCTGCGCACCCTGTTCGCGCAGACAGGATACGTTAGGGTGACCATACGTGCCATTTTCCCAGGACGCGTCCTGGCCAGGATTTCTATATTGCTTTGATTCAAAGTACCTCGACAGCGTTTCGAAAACACAAGGAACCGATGTCATACACCGATCGGTCTGCACACGCAAACAAAGCATGTGGTGAATGTACACCTATGAATAAATAATAATAAAAATAAACAATTACACTTGCAACAATTACATTTGCAGAAAACAATACTTTGTGCTTAAAATTATTAGTTTATATATAAATAAAATTATTTATATATAAACTAAACCACAAAATAATAAGCCTAATTAAGGATAGGAGTAATTTTAAAGGCACAAACAAAACATTTAAAGTTAAAGTAAAAAAAAAAAAAAGCTGTGATTGCTTTTTTCAGTGTGTGAAAATTAAAAAAAATATTTATTTATCATATCTTTTCATATTTATTTCATTTTATTTCTTAATGTGTTTTTGTAAAGTCATAATTTTGTTATAATATTGTTTTGAACTGCTTGCTATTAACAAAGTAAATATTAACCATTTTCATAGTGTTATTTCTGCTGTACTGTATTAAAAACAAAAGAAAATAATCAAAAACATCATCATAATTATCAGTTAATAATAGTATATGGAACCCACAACAATTAAAAAACAAAAACATTCAAAAATGTTTAGTCCCAAAACTTTATTAGAGGGAGAATTTTTATCAAATATTGTGTAAGAAAAATCTGTAAAAATACGGCCCAATGTACAGTGTTAATATGAAGGAATTTTCAGTATTGATTTTTAACAGATGTTTAATCTGTATTTTAAATGCTAAATTGCATTGTGTAGTGTTTTAGGGTTAAAAGAAAGGTACTGTTATTTTCTATCCAATTTTTTATTTTTTTTTTACAGATTTTTCTTTTATTACAGTGTACCAAAGGGCATGTTTGATATGAAATATGAGACATGTGTATACAAAACAACTAAAAACTCATGTAAATATCACTGGCTCACAGAATGTTTTTTATTGTGCTTCATTTCCAATCAAGATGTAATTTCATAAAAATATGCAAACAGTGTGAAAATATTATTTCACTGTATTTACAACACATAAAATCAAGTTTTTTTTTTCAATGGACACAACAATGTCTTAAATTCTGTAAGGAAATTTCTATTAAAATATGTATGCTACTGTATGCCATGGTAGGTACTGTATGAAATTGGCCTAAACAAGGTAAAGGAATCAGACATTTTATTCCAAAACTGTTTAAAATGTCATTTCCTTCACTGTCGTTTTCACCATAGAACGCTATTAAACAACTTACATAATATTTGGTAGGAATGGCCATGATTTTCTAAAGAAAATTACAAAAATTACATAAATATTCTGTTAAACATTTATACATGTCAGCCCTTGGACATTTTTAGTGGACAAATAAATATAGTGAGAGTGTTAAAAGTGTGTTTTAAGTGTCCTTGGTTTCAACCACAAACATCCTTACCTTGTAGCTTTCAAAGTAGCTTGCTTAAGTTTTTTAACAGTTTTAACCGAGGAACTTTGGGCTCAAATATAAAGTGAGTGGTTTGTGTAGATGCTGAGTGTTAATGCAGTTTATTGCATTAGTGTTTTTCCCTTCACTCAGCAATTGCTCACTGCATCCAGCAATTATAGGGCTTGGAAGTGCGCCAACGTCATGGGAGCCCCAAAACATTTACTTTTGGAAACATATTTAGAAAGTTCTGGAATTTATTGCTATAATGAAATAAAGTTTCAGACACCAGTCCGTTGTAAACAGGACAAAATGCTCAAACAATGCTGCGTTTCAAAATTACCAATAAAAAAAATACCCAAGACGTAATTGCCCTCGCTTTAAAAATAACCCAACCATGCAAGTGTGACTTCAAATTTGTTTATAACGATGGGGGGGGGGTAATCTAATGTGACTAACTGCTCCACAAAGATGCATCGACCAGCTAGTAAAATTAAAATCACACAAACGCTCCCATAATGCATCTGTGCTTCTTTCGCTCTCCTTTCAAAAATACAAAAATGAGTCACTGCAGAATAAAAGGAATGAATTATAAGAGCCAGAGGCTCATTATCAGCTTTATTGCATTTTAATATTAACAGATCCATGTGACGCTCTGGAATCCTGACCGTCATCCAGACTGGATTGAAGTCTTTTGGGGAATGACCTATCCGATCACCGGACTTCCATCTGGAGACCTCATGACGACTTACGAGAAGCCTACATGACAGTGCCACGCATGTGAATTATTAGTGAGACGGCTTTTATTAAAGAATGCATAACTTGTTTGGATCGAGTTACCTCGTTTTTGCTTTAACAGGCTTTGAAAATGAATAGCATGATTGTGTGAAAACGTTTTGGTTAGGAGAAAAGTTCCAGTCGCTCAGGCTCTGCTCCAAAACCTAGTGAGCTGCCTTGCTTTCTACTGCCTACATTGCCAGACACCTTCTAAGGAAGCATCAACCGAAACAAAACCGATTTGGAACAATCTATGACCTTAAAAACAAATGATTCAATAGAATTTGGTGTTAGCATGTGGCTGAGCTAACAATGTCATATTCTACAAAGCCTATAAATCAATAAAACATACAGAAAATAATCTGATAATGAAGGAATTATGTACACTACCATTCAAAGGTTTGGGGTTAGTATAATTTATTTATTATTTAAATATTTAAAAGACAAAAATGAATACTTCTTTTCAACAATGAAGCATTAAATTGATCAAAAGTAACAAAAGCAATGACAAAAAAAAAAATCTATTTCAAACAAATTATGCTCTTTTGAATTTTCTTTTCATCAAAAAATAATTTTTCTTTTGATATATCACAATGTCCACAAAAATATTATGCAGCAAAACTGTTTTCAACATTGACAAAAACAAAGCATATTAGATTTCATATCAGTATGATTTCTGAAGGATCATGTGTCACTGAAAACTGGAGTAAAATTCAGCTCTGCTTCACATGAATAAATTACATTTGAAAACATATTCAAATAGAAAATCAATTATTTTTAATTGTAATAATATTTCAAATTTATTATTGTTTTTACTGTATTTTTGTTATCAAAAAAGGAAGCCTTTCAGAGCATAAGACAGTTTTAAAAAACATAAAAAATCGAATCTAAAAATCTAACCAACCCTAAACTTTTGAACGGCAGTGCATATTTATAATTAACTTGTACTGTGTCATCCATCTCACATGGGGTCATCATAATGCATTTTTCCACATGTGATGTTGCCAAAGGTATCTTAGAAATCAGCAGAGTCACGCTTCCTACGCTTTGGAACAGCCTTTCCGTGGGAAGTGTGCTTATGATGCCTTAAAATGCTGCCTGTGCGGCCAACTAGGCTTTGGAACGGCACCGAAATCAAAGTAGTTGGAGCATTTTGCTGTAAGACAAAGGAATTTTTGCATGAGGAAAAATCCTCGGCAGCCACCAAACACAATACACTGCAGAATCTTCCCAAAACAAATATAAAACTCAAAGCGAGAACAAAGTGCCACAGAAATAGCCTTGCGTTCCTCAGGCTGGAATGTTTAAAGGCAACATTCAGCCGTACTGTGTGCAGAAATAAAAATTAGCTGTCTTAATTAATTTGGGGTGTGGTTGTCACATAAAACGCTTCTGTTATTTGACATTTTTAAACAAGACGTGATTTCAGCAATGGCGTCCTGCCTAAAAACCCAATACTTGCCCAGCAGACAGAAACACAAACTGAGTATTTGGGTAATAATATTAAATAAATGACAACTAGCTATTTACAAGCAAGAGCCACAGCAAAAATTTAAGGGGGTCTGAATACTTTCCGTACCCACTGTATGTGTGCTTCAGAGTGAAGCGTTCATTTACACGTGAGCAGCTCATGATCCAGTGTTTTCAGTGTCTCAGGGTGGTTCGTAGTTAATGCTGCTCCATAAGAACTGCTCATTTCTGCATCTGCTCTGAGTTTGGATTGCATTTGGTAATGCAACATGAGCCAACCATCTTCCCAAACTTGTAATGAAAAGCCCTTATAAACTGCCTGCTGACAACAAAAGAAAAGTTTAAAGGGCTACCTGTGGTTTTCCACCATAATAATATTTTGTATCAATATTTATGGCCGTCTTAATAATAAAAATAGACATTTAGTTAGTTAGTAAAAATGTCATTTTGGCGGCGTTATGCAAATCTTCCCACATCATGATGTAGACATGTGGGAGCGTGTTAGAACAAGCCGTTTTAGGTAGGCGTGGTTGACTCTTAACTTTTATAAAGAATATCTTTTTGGATTTGAGACTTTAGTCTTTGCAACTTTACAGATCTTCTTTATGCACCAAGAGCTTGTAACACTCTCACATAAAACGCTTCTGTTATTTGACATTTTTAAACAAGACGTGATTTCAGCAATGGCGTCCTGCCTAAAAACCCAATACTTGCCCAGCAGACAGAAACACAAACTGAGTATTTGGGTAATAATATTAAATAAATGACAACTAGCTATTTACAAGCAAGAGCCACAGCATGAAGTGTGTTATTTCTCACAAATGGGCTGAGATTCCCTCACACGCTTTAAAGGGAAATCAATGACTCTATCTTCAGTCCCAGAATGCAAACAATCCGTCTGCTGGCATTCACATAAATTAAGCAGGCAAATAAAGCTGCCAATGCTTGCACTAACTGAAGACCACAGGGAATGTAAGACTGCTTAAAACACATAAGAGTTTATGGCTTTAGAGTGTTTCTGAACCTTGAGGATGATTTGATTTGATACAGCAATAAACATTCAAATTTAAGAAAAAGGAAGAAAAGTCCACTGACTTATTTAAATGTATAGTATCATGTTGAGCAGCACAGTTAATAGAAACAAAAATGAAATCGTGATAGGGCTTAGTGCGATTATTTAATCAGCTTAAATTAAATTGGCTGTGATTCAGTCAAATAAATATACAGTGGGTACGGAAAGTATTCAGACCCCCTTAAATTTTTCACTCTTTGTTATATTGCAGCCATTTGCTAAAATCATTTAAGTTAATTTTTTTTCCTCATTAATGTACACACAGCACCCCATATTGACTGACAAACACAGAATTGTTGACATCTTTGCAGATTTATTAAAAAAGAAAAACTGAAAAATGCTCAGTATTTAGTAGAAGCACCCATTTGATCTAATACAGCCATGAGTCTTTTTAGGAAAGATGCAACAAGTTTTTCACACATGGATTTGGGGATCCTCTGCCATTCCTCCTTGCAAATCCTCTCCAGTTCTGTCAGGTTGGACGGTAAACGTTGGTGGACAGCCATTTTTAGGTCTCTCCAGAGATGCTCAATTGGGTTTAAGTCAGGGCTCTGGCCGGGCCATTCAAGAACAGTCACAGAGTTGTTGAGAAGCCACTCCTTCGTTATTTTAGCTGTGTGCTTAGGGTCATTGTCTTGTTGGAAGGTAAACCTTAGTTCCAGTCTGAGGTCCTGAGCACTCTGGAGAAGGTTTTCGCCCAGGATATCCCTGTACTTGGCCGAGACTTTAGTCTTTGCAACTTTACAGATCTTCTTTATGCACCAAGAGCTTGTAACACTCCAAAGAGAAAGGAAAAATTTAAATGGCATCATATGACCCCTTTAATGCTAAAAATAGACATTTAGTTAGTTAGTAAAAATGTAAAAACCAGTTACACTGAAATGTCACAATAATAATATTTCTTATTTATTTAATATTTAACAATAATAATAATCATAATTACAACAACAACAAAACAATAATAATAAGATTGTTGTTGTTTTTATTAATATTATTATTATTGCAAAATTAATATTATAGTTGTTTTCTTAATCATTTTGTATTTGTTTCGTGTTTCTATATTATTATTATTATTATTATTATACAGCATTAAATTCTCTTCTTCTCGCATTTATTTGAGGTTGTACTGGTGAATCCAGATCTCAACAAGAGATTGCAGCAATTCACCCAAGCACCTTACGAAGGATATGTGCAGTGCCCATGAGTGTGATCTTTTGCACTTCACTAGCTGACTTATTATTATTATTATTATTATTATTATTATATTATTATATAAAATTGCTTTTTTTGGCCAAATTGTGCAGCCCTACAAACAAAACAAAACAAAACACATTTTAAATCACAATTTTTATATAAAAATACAATTACAATTATACATTTTTCCCCAAATAAAAAAAAAAGTCAAACTCAAACTATATTTATAAACAATTCCTGTCCAAATGTCATCGGTTGATCCAAGGTCATACTGATGTCTTGAACCCTGGTGGGGGACAATTTTATTTGTTTTAATAAAGTATAAAGGAACAGAATAGTAAAGGAAATGCTCTAACCCCAAACATTTCTTGTCTCCTCACGTTCAGTTAGGAATTACATGAATTACACATAAATGATACCAAAACGGCCATATTTGAGAAAAAAGTCATAGCTGTCGGTCGTTTAAAATTTCGTAAAACAGCTACTTCCATCGTACTCCACTCTCTTTCAACATTAAAACTGAAGCTTTGTGCTGGAAGTCATGCTCTGCTTGTGAACAGTAAACTCCACCTACTTTAATTTGATTGAGCATCATTTTGACATTGCCAAGCACTGTTAGACCACTGATGCAGTCCCCCACAGCGTCTATGGTGGTTACGGTCCTGGGTTGATCCAATGTTGTTGTGACTGGCTGCTCGGGATGCTCCAACAAACAGAGCAATAGTCTAAAAACAAAACCACAAGCATGTGCTCATGTATGTGTGTACCTACGTTCTTCAGGTGACACGTGAGGCAGAGCCTGGCCTCGGACCAGTCGACAAGTGGAACCATCTCCAGCACAAACGCCACAGTTGTCCTCTTTAGCATTGCTTCCCAGTTGTCTGTCACAGCCAACTTCCTGTTGGAAAAAACAGACACATAACTCAGAAAAAGGCAAAATGGGAAACTTGTGTAATGTGGTGTTTTGGGTTGTGTTTCTTGTTCATGTTTTCATGTCTTTTATTTTGGAGTTTATCATGGTCCCTGTCAGTGTCATGCTTCCCTTGCCCTCATGTATCTCTGCCTTGTGTATGTGTCATGCTCTCATTGGTTATTGTCTAGTCATGTGATTCCCTTGTCTGTGTCATGTTCTGATTGGTTGTCTTAGTCATGTGTCTTGTTTCCCATTGGTTTGTTCATGTCATGTGACCCTCCTTGTCTGTTATAAGTAGCCATCTTGTTGCCATTGTCTCTTGTCGTGTATTGAAGTTGTAACCCGCTGTCGGTGAGTCTAGTCTGTTTATGCCACGTCAAGTCTGCTCATGCCTAGTCAAGTCTGTTTATGCCTCGTCAAGTCTGTGTCTCTAGTCTGTGTATCTTGTTTGGATTATGTTTGGATCACATCTTGTAAATAAACTGCACTTGGGTTCTCACTACGCTCACCTTCAGTGGACTGAATCGTTACAACTTGACTTAGACTCCAAATTAGACCCATTATCCACAACAGTATTTTGAATTTAACATTTTCCTGATTCATCCCTCCAGCTGCAACATTATTTTGAGAGGCAACTGATTTTTCAGCAAACCGATCTGCAGGACCTCAACCAACAAATCATGCTTCCTCCATAACAGAATAGAAACTGACAATAAAACAACATGGATTGAGAAACTGGCCAGCGCACGGCTCCAAACTACAATGTTTAAGCTCTAACAAGCATCATAAAAATTCATGGAGAGCCAACATATAAAACATGCAAGAATACTGAATCATTTTTCATAAGTTTTCATCCCATACATGTTCCCCCCAGCGTTTCTCAATATTTACCCAGAAATATGTGCTTCTGACAGTGATGCTCTGCTAGGAACCAGCCATCTGCACCAGAAAAGCTGCCCAGTTTTAATGCTAAATTCTGTTTACACTAGCGGGGCAATAGGGAAAGCAGCCAGAGAAAGCAAACAGCAAGACTTTACCCAGTAGCTCCGGTAAACAAGCACAAGTAAACAGACAAGCTTCATTTACACCAATTTACCTAATACTCACGGGGACTGAGGTCAAATTAGGTGCAATGCAAGAGAAGTTTCATCAACATTGTCGAATTCAGTTACCGTGCAGTACTGCATTGAATACTGATGACTGTATCTGATTTGGTTTGAGTATATTGTGTTTCTTTGCTGTGGGCCAAATGGAAAACAGAGAGTCTACATCTACTGAAAACACTAAGAAAGTTCACCCAAGAATGAAAATTCTGTCATCATTTACGTAACATCTGTGTTTTTTTCGGTGGAACAGAAAAGCAAAGTTTAGCTGAATGTGCCACTTTTAGCTGGATGCATACTTTTGAGCTTCACAAATGACCAAAACATCTCCATAAAAGTAAGATTTGTGCACTATATTCCAAGTCTTCCAAGCCATATGATATCATTGTGTAAGGAATAGACAAACACATATAAATTTAAATTTAAATATTGCCCTTAAATCTTATTAAGACTTGCATATATTTAAATGTATACATCTTGTTCAGTTACGCAATATGCAAGAGAAAATGGAAGTCAAACCTGGCAGAATGGCAGAACATTTCTTTTATGCACCATTTTTGAATATATTCAGAACCACAAAAGAGATTTGTAAAGAGTTTAAATGAATTATGAGTTGTTCCAGCCGGTCCACAAAAAGATAATGACTTCAGAGAACTTTGAATATTGTGCATAAGTCATATGGACTACTTTTTTGTCCTTTTTGGGGCTTAATAGCATTCATCCCCTTTCATCCTTCAGAATATTTCCTTTTGTGTTCTCTATTGGAAAAGAGAGCCATAAAACACATTTCTGTCTATTTTTGGTATTCAGTGCATCAGTCATAGCCAAGAAACGTTAAAAACAATGCAAAGGTATTCAAGCTCTAGGTGCACTGGAAAGCTATTTGCAAAATGAATGCAAAATTAGTGCTAAATAAACTATTTTATGTATGCAAGTAATTATGTTAGTTTCCAAGCAATTGGAGACCCTGTTTTTGGAAATCCTGTGTTTAACTTCCTAAACCAGAGCCATGGTCAAATGGAAACTCGATTCTTTGTCTTTCTGTCGATTCAGGCCTCTTTCTCTCTATTGCTCACACAAAGACACAGAACTGAGGTTAATCTGGCAGAATCGTGACCTAAATATACCCCAAATCCCCACACATGTAACACTAAAAAAGAGAGACAATTTTCCTATGTTTATGGTCATTATTTCATTATCTTTCCATTTTAGCTGCAGGTTTTTTATATTTTCAGGAAATGTGAGCTGCACTGTTAGAAATATCCAGAATGGAAAACCTGTTGGCGTCAGTACCACCAAACAATAACATTAAGCCTTTGGACACGCAGTAAAAGAAGACTGATACTATGGCAGAAGCAGATGGTTTGGTAACTTCAGTGGATGGAGACTTGATCCATATATATTTGGGAAAAGAATTGGATAAAACTGTAAAGCTTATTCTCATTGTGCTAATATTACTGTAATGCATGTCAGAACAGGGTTGAAAAGGTCAAGAATTCTGCCTCGTAAATACTGAGTGGCTTTGGCTTTAGAAGAGCATTTTTCACCTCATCAACAAGCCTAGACTGAACTTTAAAGGACAGATGTATTAACCTAAGCACTGTAAATGCTCACTTAAGTAGGCTTATGTATAAATAACATTTTCAGATTTCAGTTTTTACTTTTGGTTTTCTGGGAGTTCTGCCATCTCGCACTGCGTTCAAGTGCACCTGGGTAAGCTCCCACTTCCGTTAGACAGTCGTTTTTACAATATTTCACAAATCCAAGCCAGAAACAAAGTACAAAATCAGCCAAAACCAAGCAAATAAACAATGGACGATCTGAAAAAAGTTCTTCTTTCTCCCATACCAGTGGATAAGCATTACTACATGCATGTTTTATTTGATCAAAATTATAATTTTTACTTTATTACAATTCTTTTATTATAATTATTTATTTTATTATAATACATATTTATTATTTTGATGTTTTATTATAATTATTTTATTACAATTATTTATCATAATAAATATTATTTATTATTTTAGTTTTATTATTCGGTTAAATGCTACTGTTAAATAAACCTACTGTTCAATTCTTACTGAATTTGTTCATGTAGTATGCAAACCTACTGTTTACTTCTTACTGCTATTGTGTCGATCTTATTTTTAATAACAAAACAAAAAAATAAAATAACTTTATTGTGATACATATTATTATCATGAAATGAAATGACTCACACCATGAAATAAGACTTTGGTCATATCACCCACCCCCACACTGTAAAAAAAAATTAATAATAAAAATAAAAATAAATAAATAAATAAAAGTTGTACATTTAAAAAAAATAAAATACATTTTAAAATCTCACGATTAATTCAATGTGTTACTTGCCGTTTCTTTGTAACCGTTTGTGAAATTTACTACCAATATTTGAGTTTCAACACCACGTAAAACAAGTATAGAAAACAGCTAATGCTTGCTATAGTGCCTCTTATGGCAACTCTTATAATGTCATGGACTGATATTTCAAACTCAAAGGGTGCTTCACTATCAGCTTACGTAGCTTAAGTTCATTGATGTTTACCTGACAAATTCCACTGATGCATATATCCAGAGAATCCGCTTTGCACCGAGTGCCATCCAACACTTTGGGCGCCAGTTCCACCACCAGGCTTTTCCCCCGGGCTTGACATCGGAGGGCACAGGGTGAAATAGGGTCGTACGTCACAGGTATCCACTCGTAGGTTTGTCCTTGGTACTTGATGTCATTGTGGGCGGAGCATTGTTGAGCCCTGAAGTCACCTGACTCTGGAGGACAGTCCTGATTGGAAGAAAGATGGAGAAAGATTTGGCAACTATCAAATATTTTTTTAATATCATTAGGTAGATTTCTTACAAATTGCAGTCCATCACTGAATACAAATTACATGCTGGAAATAGTTAGTAACAATATATTACATTACATATTTTAGGTAAAATAATCAAACTACTTTTTGATTACATTTATATTACTTTTGACCCAATTTATCACATTGATTTGAACAGGATAATCCTGTACCATATTGATATAAAAACAAATAAATTATTTCATTTAAAATATTATATTTAAAACATACTCTTTAAAATTTGAAATATAATAAATTATTTTAAAATAAAAACGAGTATAAAAAACAGTTAATAAAATCCACAAAACTGGAAGATTTCCCAAACATTTATATAAGGAATAGAAAGGAAAATTTTAACAAAGGACATTTTATAATGCAACAGAAGAATTAGGAGGAATTATGAATGTAATTTATTAATAATTTACTGTCATTTTGTGTATGTAGTCTGATTATGAGTATTTTAAAATGTTATATAATCTAATAACAAGTGTTTAATTTTTGGAATCTGATTACATAATCTAATTATATATAATGAGTTACTACTCAGCACCATCTTTGCCTACAAAATAGAAACACTGATATTTAATAGGCCCAAAAATAACAGCTGACCTGACAATGGCACTGGAAATATTATTTTCTATGCGGCGAGACTAAATCGTGATCATGTGTGTAACATCATAAAGCTTATGCAGATGACTGGGTGCATTAACGAATGGTGACAGTGTAATTGAACTGTGGCAGGCCTCCATGTTTAGAAAAACAATATTTCCTATGTCATCTCCTGTGCACTAAAGAAAACCACAATTCTTCCTCTGCAGCTCGGGGCTCTGAACTCATTTAATCATCCGATCGGCTCTGAAGCCCCCATGTGCAAAGATCATCAGTGATGCCCGTGACTGAAGCGTCTCCATCGGATAGAGCGATTACAAATCACAAGTCTTCAACGTCAGGATCAGTAATGGAAACAAAAAGAACAATTCGACAATGGACCTCATCAACAGCAATTATAAAGCCTGACAGGGAAGACCGAGCATCAGTTCTCACTGTTTTGACGGAAATGGGATAAATGTTATGCTGGGAATCTTTCCCAGATGGCTCTGATTGGAATTGTGGATGAAGGAGGAATGGGATTCCAGATGAAACCACTTCAATGGTAGAAAAACACTGGCTTTTGATTAAAATGGTCCTTGAGACACATGGGCATCTAACAGCTCTCAAAATGAGTTTGTCCTGTAGTTGGGGTCTATTGACTGAATCATAGGGCACCATTCTGGTTCCATAACAACTCCATTAACTTGTATTTTTATTTAATTTCGAGCTGTTACACCAAGAAAATTGTGAGTCATTTGAACAATTCATCAAAGAATCAATTAAACAACTGGATATAAGAATTATTTGTTCACGAATCAGACTGCACTATTCATGCCTAATACAATAAAAGATCCAACTAATAAAAGATCCAACTGAAATAATGGATTCATTCTCAAACCAGACATCACTAGATGAAAATTCACTTCACTTGCATAAAAAAAAAAAAGAATGTAAAAAAGATCTGTTGATGGAATCAAACTCATGAAAATCATTTGGTTCCATGCCAGTTTTTTTTTCATTCAAACTGGTTGTAAGAACCAGTTTCTCATTCCCACCCTCAAAATGTACATGATATGAGGCAAAAATGCACATAAAAGAGAAAAACATCTTATAGAATTATTCCTATTTCATGCTACTTTCTTCTCCCCTAAAGGTACATGATGATGGCAAAAAAAAAAGACACGGGAGAAAACATTATATTTCAATTCCTTTGCATTAACTCACAAAACTATTGCATTCCCCGAGAAACTTTGCATTTGCTTGCAAACCTTTTGTGATGGAAGACTATATCTCTATTATTAATGATTATATCGATTATTAGGGAATATAAAGTTTCTCTGGGGAACACAATTATTTTTCAAGAGAACGCAAAGTTTCTTGAGGGAACCCAATACTTTTGCGAGAGAATGCAAATGTATTGGGAAAATGCAATGTTTCTCAGAGGAACACAATAGTTTTGGGAGATAATGCACATTTTGTGAGAGAAGATAAAGGTTCTCAGGGAAATGCAATCATTTGGTGAGAAAATGCAAATGTTTCGCAAGAGAACGAAAAATTTCTTGAGGGAATGCAATACTTTTGCGAGAGAATGCAAATTTATTGCAAGAATGCAATGTTTCTCGGAGGAACGCAAATGTTTTGCGAGAGAACACAAAGTTTCCTGTGAGAACACTAACTTTTGTAAGCAGACTCAACAGTGTTCAGTGTTTCACAGTGTTCGCCAATATAAATTGCTTATTTTTGCCAAAATTACATAGTATTATACTAAAAAACTCCACCCGACATGTTATGCGGGCTACTGTATTCTGCATGCTATTTTGAAAAATAGTTTAAAATACACTGCATGGTATACAATATGTAGAATAAATAGTAAAAGATTTTGTTAACACTTTAGTTTAAGGACCAATTTTCACTATTAACTAGTTGCTTATTAACATGTGTATTACTAGCATGTTGGCTGTTTATTAAAGGGGTCATATGACGCAATTTCATGTTTTTATTTGTCTTTGGAGTGTTACAAGCTGTTTGTGCATAGATAAGATCCAAAAAGTCGCAAAGACTAAGGTCTCAAACCCAAAGAGATATTCTTTCTTAAAGTTAAGACTCATCCACACCCTCCTAAAACGCCTCGTTCAAACACACCCCCACATATCTACGTCACTGTGTTGGAAGATTTGCATAAGGCCGCCCAAATATTTACGCAAAGAAAGAAGGTGTAACTTTTATTCTTGCTGTAGTATTGTTGCCACCGCCGCCATGTCATGGAGACGCTGTGTATTTCCAGATGGTAAGAGGCGTAACATTTCCGTCACACGATTGAGGAATTCGGCCAATCACAACGCACTGGATAGCCGGCCAATCAGAGCACACCGCACTTTTCAGACCGATGAGCTTTGTAAAAATTTACGCGTTTCAGAAAGGTGGGGCAGAGAGGAGCAACAATAATGTACAGTTTGTGGAAAATAATGTTTTTTGAACCTTAAACCACGTAAACGCATTGTATTACACCAAATACACCAAATAATGTTCTTTTTAGCAACGTCATATGACCCCTTCAATACTTATTAACACAAATTAATGCCTTATTCTGCATGACCATATTTCAGATGCCTTAATCCTACCCAATACCTAAACTTAACAACTACCTAACTAACTATTAATAAGCAGCGAATTAGGAGTTTGAGGCAGAGAAACTTTAGAATAAAAAAAAATCCACTATGGAATTTAAGCTGTTAAACGGAGCTGTGAGTGCTACACTCTTATTGGTAACAGGATGAATGACTAAATTAGTACAGATATCTAATAAACGAACATGCAAGGTATGAGGGTTCTGTATAATTTTATGAACAACAGGCGCTCCAATTGACCAATCGGTAAGCCCTTCCTCTCGAACGCAGATGAGCCAATGGCAGTCGAGTATCAGTTGCATGGGGACCGGAACTCGGACATCTGTAGGTTTCAGTGCCATAGAGAAACATTGGAAGATCCGAAGCTCGCATCGATTTTATGGGGTTTGTAACAGTGATTCCAGGTATCCTGAGAGGATGGGCAATGGAATTTATTTTATTCTATTTCCTAAACCAAAACAAAACGGAGCAAAATGTCCCAAAGCATTCACCCCTAATCCCAATGAAGACAAAAAAACGTTCATTTTCTGGTTGTCATACATTAATTAAGTTACAATTTTCATCTGATCAAGCAAAACGTTAATGTCATCTTGTGCTTCAGCAAGGTATCTCTGGCTAAAACTAACTAACGTTAAAGTTAGTGAGTCCATGCTAATGTACAAACCTAAATTTGTACATTTGTACTTCTGCAGACACAGATTGCTGGTGGGCCTCATAACACTGACTTACTGTATTGCTGCATGTTCTGTAGCGGATGTTCCTGCCCTCACAGTTCCTGTGGAACAAACACAAAACAACAAAATCAGATATGTTACAAAGTCATTGTTCTTCTTTGTGGCGCAGCCCCTCCATCTTTTGTCTCAATATTACAGTACATTATCAAGGGGAAAGGAACATCCAACTATTTATTCCTACAGTAATGATTTTCAGATTATTCTCTTTAAACCGCTCACTCGTTTGTGAGACTCTTTGTCTATTTGTGCGCTTCTTGAGAACCTAAAATGAATGCGTGCTATATTGAAAAATAAATTCCCTCGACAAAAAAAAGAGCATTTTTTTCCATTGTGAAATATTTTTCACTTAGACTGCCAGTCAGGTAATAACAACAATGCAGTCAATCCAGTATAAGTGCATTTAAAAAAAATTAATAATAATAAAAACAGGAAACGATTTGCCATTTGTGATTTTCTCTAAAAATATGAATCCAGCTACAGCTGTACGAAATATGCAGCAATGTGTTTTGAGAAGAGTTTGTTTAGAGACAGAAATAGAGAGAAAACCAGAAAGAAGAACAACAGGATATTGACTTTCTAAATGTCCTATTACCTCAGCCTAAAAACATTAGCCTATCATATTTCAGCTTATTAATTCCGTTCAGAAAAGCAGCAGTCACCCTGAACAGAAACGGTTCACATCACCAGACTTCTGAAGGGTGGAAGACTGTTATTAAGATCTTAATCTTTCTCTGCAATCGTCCTGCCCTTGAGCGAAATGATTTAGGATGAAATTCTAGCTTTTATTCACTGAATACTGCACAGTGCACTGTGTTACGGAGGGAACACAGGAAGCATGCGGATCCATCTGCAAGGCTTTATTAACAGAGACGTGGTCAAAAACAGGCATAGGTCAGAAAATGGCAAACAGGTATATTGATGGCAAGGCAAGAGGGATAATCCAGGTACAAGGCAAAGGTCCAGGCAGGGGCGAACAGTATCCAATTGGGCAAGACTCGAGGGATAATCCAGGTACACAGGCAGTGATCAGAACACGGGGAAACAGACAAGAGAGTTCGCAAACGGCCTCTATAGCCGTGACAGGATGGGCAGTGAGTTCACGGACGGCCTCCATGACCGTGACAGGAGGGGCAGAGAGTTCACAGATGGCCTTCATAGCCGTGACAGGACAGGTAGCGAGTTCATAGATGGCCTCCTTGGCCGGAACAGAACAGGCAGA